GTATTTCACGACGGTGTAATTTACCTTCACAAATTGCCATATTAACAGCTTTATTTAATTCTGTACGATACCGACGAATAACATCGCATCTTGGATCTAGTGAGTGATGCTCCAGCTGACAATTAGCGCATTTTAGAACATTAGAGCACTGATGATTTGGACCAAAATTACCTAAACATATTCGACATCTTAGAGTTAGTATTGTACATACATCTCTCAAATGGCCCAAACCCCAACGTTTAGTACAATATGTCATTTTGTTTGCTGCTTTGTATGTTGTGATAGGTAGTAATCGGTTACCTACTGCAATACGACCTAGCTGTAACGCAACGTTATATTCTCTCAAATCGGCCACTATAAAACGGTAATCCCTTGTAGACCGTTCGTAGGAATAGATAATTTCTTTAAAGTGATCAGCAGATTTAATAGAACGTTTTATTTCCTCGTTAACTTGCTCCAAATTAAAAGTGATTGGTACATACCGAATAACTAATGTAAAGCACTCAGGTACAAATTTAGGTTTAACAACTGTAATTCTTTTATTACTAACGTGAGTAGGCCATTTATCCGTTAATATTAAGATAGAATAATCTTCTTTATTATTAACACCTAACTTTAATTCATATTTTCCAGTTAATACAGCAACTGAAAAAGGATTAATTCTGACACCATTTTGAATAAGATTTTCATGAATTAAATCACTAGCTATTACACTTGAAGGGAATTCGCTTGGTGAAATATGTGAATCAAATTGTATAATAAAGCAGGGAAGGTTGTTTGTAACTGCACGTTTTAAATGTGAGAATGGTACACTATATTGGTTATTATTACTAAGGTATTGACGGTTTAACGTTGCCTTTGGACGTTTATTTAAGTTACTCTTATATTGTTCATTTTCAATTTGTATTTTTGGCGTTGAAGCACTATTAGGTGTATTAGGACTAGAATTTTGTTGAGTAAAACGTGCTACATGTTGATCATTAATCGGATAATTAATTGTCCATTTAGTTAGATCTACCCTGATTTGTATAATCGACTTGGGGTTGGTGATAAAATTGCTGGTGACTATAATCATTATATTGATGCTGCATAAACTGTTGTTGCTGATTGCGAAGGAAATCATTATTGTAGTGTTGATAACGACCATCCAGTATTGCATTATGTCCATTGATGGTACTAGGCCTGACATTCGATAAATCAGTATACACACGCTCATTTGATCTAGAAATCACTGTTTGTTCATTTTCGTTAGAGTAATTTTCATTACCAGAATCATTTAAATCATTGTTACCCAATACATTTGTTCTATTTTTATCATAATTATCATTACGACTCTTTTGTCTTTGACTATTACGATTACTCATTCAGAAATAAATACGCAGCAACGTATTTACACTACACGTGCGTGAGGCCACGTATACAAAAAAGAAGAAAAGGAAAACGTGATGTACTTCTTAACTGTATGAGATAAAAAACTGTTTTTGACGCTTTTCCCTTTTAGTAAATATAAATGTAACACGTTTGGCGCACAAGCGTGATTCTCGCCTTTTCAGTCAAAACGATTGTATTTAACATATCCGTTCAAAATGTATAAGACGAAGTTTCTAAAACTTTTATCGTTCCATCTTATGAGTACTGGTATTTCTGTATTTCTGTTCAGTTTAAAATATAAAATATTTTTCGATTTATCTACTAAAGATGCTCTTATTCCTGATCTATCACAGGGTTGGGTACCGCAAGCAGTTGGTTATATACCAGAAAAAAAATGGTTGTTAGTAACGAATTATAACGATGATAAAAGAACTGCGAGTTCTATTGCTGTTATTGATTCTATCACAAAGACTTTCATTAAACGAATATTATTAGCTAATAAAAATGGTGACGTCTATACTGGTCATGCTGGCGGTATAGCTGTTTCTAAAACTAATGTGTTTATATCGTCCGATAATCATTACACCAAATCGAAATTAGTAGTATTATCGCTGCTAGTAATAACTCAATGATTAAATTTAGAAATCAATTTAGTATTGCTACACAAGGAAGTTTCGCTTATTTTGATCCAACAGATAATATTTTATGGGCCGGTGATTTTGTTGATGATAAAGACGAAAAACAACAACCCAAATTAGTTGGTTATAAATTAAATATTAATGACACATTAAATAACTCTCGATTATCAGCGACTTACACATGGAATATTCCAATTAAAATTCAGGGCATGGTAATTATTAATGATAAATGTGTGTTTAGCCAATCATACGGTCGTGCATCTGACAGTAAATTAATAATAGCCAATAAGGGTTATAATGGTAAACAACTAAAAACAATTACATTACCACCATTATCCGAAGGCCTTTCATATCATCCTAATTCAAACGATCTTTTTATTATTTTCGAATCAGCTGCTGAGCAATATCTCGTTGGTGGAATATATCCATTAAAGAATATTTATAAGATAAATGTTAAAAAGTTCTTCAAGGATATTGCTTAATCTACTTTTGAAAGTACATGATGATATTTTTGAAAAAGCAGATTTTATTTCAATCTCAATGATATATAACTCTAAAATTATTTTTGTTGATATATTTTAAATCTTATAGTCTAGTAGTGTGTTGAATGAAGGAAGATAGTAAATCAGTGATAGTTGCGGCTCTTAATATTTTAAAAAACAAACAAAGACGATGTATTTCAAAAATGGAATATTTAACTAACGGTTCAACTGTATTTGTGTGCTTAACAGTTAGTGGAATCCATCCTAATTCTATGCACACTTCCTCATACGAAGAACCTCTCATCGCTCCGTAGAGAAGAAGAAGAACTACTAAAATCTTGTGAAATGATCCTGCTAGCAAGGCGCTGAATTTTATCCAAAATCCACGTTAAATTATATGAAATAATCATGCCAAGAAGCTTAAGAGACGAAACTCTTTCTATATCAACGTTGTTTATTGAAAGAGTGAGTGAAGAAAGCATTTTAGTAGAGTTATAAAATCCAGAGACATTTGTTAATGTTTAATTTGACCTCATTCATATAACACTAGAGAACAAGCTCATTAATACATTTTTGAGCCTCGAACAGATGGCGATCACATAGCAATAAGTAATGAGGATTAAGTATCTATTACATATCATGCAACCCGTCAATAACAACAATAGTCAACATCATCACTAAATCAGGATAGTTGCAATAAACAAGAAACTATTAAAATTTCGAGCTTCAGAGGATATTTGTACTTTTCATTTAAGAGTAGGCTTAGAATGTATGAAAGTTAGTATATAATGAATACTGGATGCGATCGTCAGTTCGCTTTTATTGTTGACTGGTCCAGTATATGCAGACAGTTATTTCTGCTAATGGACATCTGACTTTTTATTCTATTGTTTTCTTCAGCAGAAATCTTCGTTATCTATCTAAATTACCATCTGCTGGATTCAGCCATTTTGCTCTGATAGCAATAATGATTCATGCATCAATAACCAGTAGGAGCATAAAATGTTCACAAATGCACATAAAATGAGTAGAAAATGATTGCTCTGTTTTCTCTTGTAGACCGTCATAGTTATGTACGAACATTGTCTTTTCTCTTTTGATACGTGTGGTGAAAATACTTTTCTGTTCTCTTTCCTTCTCTCCACACATAGTTAGTGCAGTCACGTATTCACTTATTCACTCTTACTATTTGACTGATCGCTACCAGGGACTGTTATGAACACAAATTTTCCGTTCATGGGTGTCCATAAATGGCGCCTTAGGTCTTTGGAGTATATGCCTACGTGTTGACACCTTTTCTGTATGACACAAAGCCTTCGATTTTTGTTAATGGACCATCGATTTGAATTTTCATTGCAGGAAAATCAAATACTTTCCAGCAGTTTGTTCCATCACGAGCAGCGTCATTTTTAATAACTACACACTTTTCTTTTTCCATTTTCAATAGACGTCCGATTCCCTCTTTTCTGTACTGTACTCAAACTGATGTAACAAAATTAGAAGAAGAAGCCAAGTCTGAAGGATCATCCTCATACATTTTCAACTCAAAGACAGTAGATAGCAGGGTCTGTTATGGACAATAATATTCCGTCCATGGGTGCTCACGGACGGACAGTTGTGTCTATGGGTATCGTAATTACAGAATTGAAGTAAACGATTTCACATTGTTCGTATATGTATAGTAAAGCATAGGTAACAAAAAAGTACGATGATTAAATTTGTTATGCATCGATGAAGATGACGATCGCATAGCAATAAGTAATGAGGATTACGTATCTAGTATATATACTGCGCCCCATCGAAACAACAACAGACACAAATTTTGAATTGATAACAATAATGATTTATGCAACAATGATCTTATTTTTATTAGTAACAACGTATTTGGCTCGAATCGAGGGTAAGCATATAAGCAAATCTGTCGACAGTTTTGTGTGTTCAAGAAAGTAATCAGAGCTTCTCTAAGGTCTTTGGATCTGTCTTATTGAAAATGTAAAGAAAGTAGTTCTGTTATGTTTCTTATAGGTATCCCAATAGTAATTCACGGGAGCGCTTTAGGTTAAGTGATAAAGTATCACGGAGGGTTGAAGTCTCAGCTACTCTTTAGTACTTTAGCGCGTTTTAGATTTATCTGGCTGTCTTTAACTATACCGTACGTGTACATTTATGTATCTCTGTTTCAATCGGCTCTCACATATCTGTAATATGATGCCATGTCTGCATTTGCAGTGATGTACGATACATATATTAGAACTCTAGTAGTTTAAGACTTCAAAAAGTATTTATTGTGGCGATTGATCTGCTCAACGGAATGATAATCTCAGAAAGAAATTATTTTGA